TGCACACATCCAAGAGGTCGATTTGTACACACCAGTCTGATTGCCAGTGTGGATCGAGACAAATCTGAAGTGGACAGCGAACACGGTGTCCATGTGAAAGCAGTGTGACAAGTTGGTGCGGACTGGTGACGTGCATGATGCGTACACAGTGTGTATCTCACTATCCGGTCGAAATGTAATGTATTTTTTTCTTAGCGTTTCGATTTTCTCTTTTACTCATCTTTCTGCTTTTGTACTCATATATCTTCAATATATTTGGTGGAAGTTGCTTGTTCTCACGTTTTTCTTAACTTGTTTTCTTTTGAGATTGATTTTGCGTTACATGCTGATTTATGTTTTTCTTCAGCTGTGTATTCCGTTTATTTTTGGCGATCTTGTCATTTATAATACATTATCAGTGAACGATGCCTAATGTTCTTCTCTGCAGGCTGTCAACTCTCCTCTTATAACCATGAGAGCTATTATAGTGACGAATTCCTTTCAATTGATTGCTCAACAATGATGCTTTGTTTTAAAAGTTGGTATGTTCAGCCTGTTGATCTCAAAGCCGGATATCTACTGAATTATTCGTTCCGTTCAATTGTATTCTGCTAAAGACTTTTCTAGGTGATGACAGTAGTGTGATGCATCTCTAGCTCTCACATTTTCTCAGATTTCTTTTCTTCGGTATTCTGATGAGTTGTCCTTCTTTCCAGTGTGTTGGCACTTTTTCTGCCTCCCATATCTTTTTGAATAGAATGTATAGCTTGTTTGCAAATAATTCTATGTCTGACTTCAGAGCTGGTATTTTGTCAGTTAACTGACCAACCAACATACCAACCTACCTACCAACCAACCTTTATTGTCAGGTCTTGCTGCTTTTCTACTCTTGACTTGTTTGATGGACATCTTGATTTCTTTGATCGTTTGTGGAGTGACATCAATGAGAATGTTTGTAAGTGCCGCCTTGATGTAAAGTGGATTCAATGGAGCTGGTCTTTTTAAGATTTCTTCAAGGTCTTCTATCCAGCCATCTGTTCTTCTTTCCTTGAATTTCAGTGATTGGCTTGCTTTTTTGTCCTTGACTGATTTCTCTGACTTACCATAGTTCTCTGCTAGTTCCCTCGGTGTGCTATATAGCTGTCTCATACTTTCTTGTTTAGAAACATTTTCGCTGCTGTTGCTAGCTCTTCCACGTATTCCGGCTTGTCGACCCTAATGCTCCTCCTCCCTTTGTCGTTTGCTTCGGTCTGTTCGATCTGTGCTTTGACCTTCTTTGCTCCTGTTTAACTGTCGCCAATTGCTGTTTTCTTGTTCTTCCTTTATTGAATCTTCTTTAGAGTTTCTACAAAGATTCAATCCTTATGACGATGCTTCTTGCGGCCCCTAACCTCCTGACACGTGGAAGCTTATGCTCCTTCGATTTCTTTCCAATTGTCTTCCATCGTAGTTTCTTCTTCATCTAATAGATCCTGTAAGACTTGGGACGTGTTGGTTTGAGTAATCTTGAATCTATTGAGTTTGCCAGTGTGTCGAAAGAAGGCTGTATTGAGCCTTTGTAGGGCTATTTGTCCAGTTGTCAAATGCCTTTTTAGCTTCAATCTCATATAAGCAACCCTCAGATAGTGATATGAAGTTATACCAGTTCCTCTCCTGGTTCTCACATCTAAATTAAAGAGATCTTAGCAAATATTAATACTTCAGAAGCATCATGCTAATATAAGTACCATGAAAAGCTTCCAAAATAATTCTAGTGAACAGAATGGAATATTCAGTAGACACCCAACCTCGGTACCAACAAGCCAAATTCTGTCAGGATCATTCGTGTGCAGACTATATATAAAAGGGATTAACTGATTTTTTATTGTTTTAGTATTCATAAATTTCATCATTATCTTACATTTCAGATTTTTCACCAGAGCAGTTATATCTGGAAACAAGTAAATTAACGGATAGACTGTCTATTACCTAAAGTTCAACAAGGGTACTTTTCAATTTGACATAACCTTTTTGAGCTCTTGCTAATAACATGAAATGTCCACTTTTCCATTGCCATAATTGAATGTCCGGACACTTTTAAGGATGCCAACTGCGTCTTCACTTTGCTAGTAGACAATCACAATAACAAATCCGACAACCAAAATCGTATTAAGGTTAGATCACTGTGTGGTTGTTTCAACTGCAACATACACATATCCACTTACTTCCGGATACAATGCTTGTAGATAGGTTGATGATCCCACGCGAGGATGCTTACTAGGACGACCAAACACAACACCGCAACGTTAATTGTCTTCCATGTTTTATTTTCATGCAGCATACATCCACTTATCTATACTATTATTCGCCTTTCAAACTTCAGTCTCGCGTACTTCCTGCCTACTGTGGAGAAACGATACAAAAATGATAACTGTATTGCATGCTTGCCGCTCGTTAAAACCAGGGGCCCAGCGTTCCAATGTAATTTCCGCAGTGGTTGGGTTCACTGTCGTTGTGATACTGAATTACCTAGACGGAACTACAGGTATATGTTCAGTCATCGCTCTGGTTTGTTTACCCATAGTTTAGAAAACGGAACAAATAAAACGGAAGCATAAAACCCTATTGGAAACAACTGTATAAATTCCCACAAGTATATCCAAGTCGTCAAACACAAACTCAAGCAAAAACACGACCAAGAAAGCCACACTCCGAGACCATACACCAATGGAATTACTAAATTTTGCTAATCACTCGAAATCTGTTAGCAGCCCGTAGCAACATGTGTGAGTTGAGAACGAAATTGATAAAAGAATAACTTTCAAAATGGTAGAAATTCTGGATAAAGAAGTTAGACGAACCTCGTTTTTTTATTAAACGTCCAATTGCCGAGTGGTGGCTGATTATAAAGTATGGAAATCTTTAATAAAGAACAGTGGTACAAATACTGTAGAATGCTGAGAAAGCGCATAACTTTAGCCAACCTATGTAGACTGTATTAGGGGCCTAGTGAATCAAAAAGCAAACCCCCTATTGAAGATAAATTTAGGATCAACACAGGCTACAAAAGAGATTTGACTGGCACACTAGGGACTATCAATTAGCCGGTCTTCTCAAATCCGAGTTGGACAAAAGCCATAGGAAATAATAGATGACTCTCGAAAATCATCTCACACTCAAGAACCAACCGGCATTGTGGTTTACAGAATGCTTCAGTCAGCAGGTGGTAATCGAGATGAAGCTCACGAACAAGATATGTAACAGTGACGTCGGCTATCATGTATCATATGCCTTTAAACCACTATGGTGACTAATTTGTTCAGACTGTGTCATCTACTAGACCTCACGACTATTAAGTTTCTGCATCTGATGGTTGTAAACTTCAGAAACCGAGAGGATTTAACCAAGGCTCTTTAAGCTCGGTATAGCCTGAAAAACAACCTCTCCGGCTACACCAGATGTGAAATTCGAATTAGGTCCATAAGGTAACATCAAAGAACACATCTTGGTGTTGATTGGTTTTGACCAGCAACTCACGGTACATAGCACAGAAACCACTGTCTCGCTAGTGCGATACGCCACACAAGCAAAATACCTACAACAGCCGGTTCATACAGAATTCATCAACCCCCTTAAACAATAATCTGTCAAAAAACCGTAAGACAAATGTTACTGTAGAGGGGTGCTAGGTGATTATACAAACCGTCAAGTGCCTCTATAACAACGTAATGGGAATCAGGAGCAAAATGGGAGGAATCGAAAACGTTTAGTTTCTAAAACTTATGAAGATCATGGCTCTAGTTGAAAAATTGCTATCCTTTAACATCATGGGTGAAAAAGCGAGCTTGCATGGCATAACACTTTTCAGAAACACAAAAGTACACAAAAAAGAGGTGGAGTGGCAATATAAATTAACAGTCACTTCAAAGCCACAGCAACACGCTACCAAATTAACCGGACCGGCAAACGCATGCTGATGTTGCTTAAATGTGTATGGAATAAAGTAGTAGATCGAAGGAATATACCGATCATCCAAAGGTTCTGACGTCCAATAAGATGAGCTAAAATGGTGATACAGTGGCTGGGATTTGATCCATCATTACTTGCAGATTTCAACACCCCACCCTAAAATTTCAACGAGCAAGACGCACTCCACAAGGCAGTTCCATAAGCGACCAGTCACAAATAGTGGAATTCCAGGACCGACTGTACATGTGATTGGCTACATGAGACAGGATAGAGATGAAAAACCCTCTTTAGGATATTACCAGAATATCACTACACTCCTCAAGGCAATCCTCCTGACATTGCATATCAAAGGGCGAACGTCCAGGTACGCTTTCGCGTTTTCACATAAGGAATTGCTCTCATTTTAAATGCTCCCTCAACCAAGGTGACCACAGACCCATTAGTGACTAGGTTTAAAAGACGAATCCACAAACAATTATTCACCCATGAGTCGCTATCTCCCTACTGAACCACCTGTGCCTGATGCATATCTCATGAATTATCACGGTTATTACTATCAAAAATCAAAAATTTCTCTTCATGTCTCCTATTATCACCTTCGTTTCCCTTCTTGTTTTTTCAGTTCCGTCTTCTCACACATTACCAATAAATTAACTGACTTGTCATCCTTGAAATAATCGCCTTCTCTTTCACCTAAATTATCACTATTATTTTCACGTTGCGATCAGCCAACCCCCTATCTGGTAATGTGATAGTTACTGGCATCTGAAAATTCTACTAACCTGAGACAAACGCACTCACTCAACTATGATATACAAATCCACAAGTAATTATCAAACGGACTAGAATTACTGCATTCGAACGGATAGACTACCACCTACTGGATATTACCAAATACCTAGAACCGTACTGAAACAACAAGAAACCACCTCAAAGAAATCGATCTGTTTATACGAGCTCATGAAAAAGATATTGAAGTCATTGGAGTACAAGATGCTATTGTATATTAAAAGCGCGTAAGTGCGTCTGTAGGTCACTGTACGTTTTTGACAATCGAGGTCATACAGCTGAGTACTTACTTCTCTGGCCAAGAAAAGGTATCATTTTCAGATAAAGAGTTAGGATGTGAAAAATGGAAATACCATAGGTGCTCTTGAGGTTCATGAATTTTTATTGTCTATCCAGCCATTAACTCCGAGTCCATATAAAAAGATTAATAAGCTTGTAAACATAATCGTTCTTTCACCCAGTATGAATTATTTAAATATCTGGGTCTGAACTTTTTGATGTCGTCTTTTTTGGCTCTTTGTCATGATGTCCATGTCCATTTAGCTATTTGGTTTTCGATCACAAATATACCCAACTGCATTTCTGTGGACGTAATGAATTCAATTATCATATATTGACTGGAGTACACTACGTATGGGTCAAGCCGTATTGTTTTTTCATCCTCATTTTAGGGGATTGTATATTACGAGTGTAAACCAATAAAACATTTAAGGGAGTTACAAGATTTTGTTAGTTTTTCAGTCTCTAGTTGTAACAGACCTATCACTAACCATGTGATGGCAACGTGCAGTAGTGACTCATCTGATGTAATACCACTATCCTTTCAAGCATACATATATAATATTGATTTCGGGAACTTGGTAATATAACTTCCATGTGTTGTTCGTCCTGTGAATGTATAGGATCATGTTATATATCATCGCAAAGTAAGGACTCCATTAGGAGCATATGTATCAACTCATTTTTTATCGACATTCAGTAAATAATGTTTCTTTTCCTATTTTCATAGTAAGTTGGTAATGTCTCGTTCTCTGGTTATATTGAAAGATATCAAAAATTGGAATATCTTTAGTGGGTTATGTATACGTCGACCCGCAGTTATTGCACCAGAATTAAAACCACTTGAAAAACAAGTAGCCGATCTAATTGAAAAGATCGACTTTGAAAGAAGCCACTTGTCGGCACATGAATTAAGACATGAAATTGAAACCAAAAGAATTGCTAATGCCCTTTCAAAAGGAATAAGTAAAAGTGCACAAGAATCACTAGTAACTGCTCGTGAAGCTGAAATAATGTGGGAGTTAGAGGCTGAGCAGTATAAGCCAGCAGAACGATTGACAGGTATGTTTTCTGTCGGAATAATTTATTTCTGACTCGGTCGTTTTCACTGAAAACGACCCCTTGCCTTTAAGGTTTGTTGATAAGAAAGTAATCTTATTTAACTTTCGATTGTAGATTTGTACACATGTAATATATCTCTTATAATCAGAATATTTCTGTTTTCATAGCGAATCATAAATCACTTAGAGCAAGCTTACTCATAGTGAATATTTCTTAAACAACTTGTATTCGTAGAACTGAATTTTCTTTTAACATTTAGAGGCATTCCGACGTAAATGCACTCAATTAACATGTTAGCTCGTGTCGAAGGCACATTTGTTCTTCTGAAAATGTTATTCATAATATTCGCCTGATAGTTATGAACAAGTCAAAAGAATAATTCTTCCAATTAGGCTAAGTTGGAGTACAAGAACACATCGAAATAAAGTTGTCGATCCAAATCCCAGAATAGGAGGATTGGCAACGGCATCATCACTAGTCAAAAAATTATTTATAGAAAAAAACCAGAGACGCGGGGAGACTTCGGGACTCGGGTTCGAAAGGTTTTGAATAACCAGTTTTAACTGTCTTGGAGCAGATTTCAGCCTATAGACTTCTGTGTTAAGAAAAATATGTTTGGATTTACTATAACTTGCAGTCAACTGAAAGCAACAGTTTGTGTAAACTACTAAAAACTACACCTTATCTACAATTGATGTATGTACAATTAATACCGTTTAGACTATCATGTTTAAATAAATCATCAAACTAATCACCTTCAGCTAAGTATTCGTAAAGTATGTGACAACTTCTAACTTTTATAAAGGTGAACCAAGATTGATTCCAATAAAATTACACTTAAAGAACCAATTGTACAAACATTATCCTTGATGGGTATAAATTGATTGGAAGCGGCTCAATTATTAGATGATGAATAATAGGCAGCACCTCTTCCCCGTTCAAAAGGAAGAGTAGTTATATTAAGGCCATGTTTGCCAGTGCATCCCAACTTCTTCAATAGGGTCTTAAATGTCATGTGATCGGATGACTTGGGATCTTATTACATGTCTTAAAACAGAGATTAGTAACGGTAGTACTGTAGTTTTATTTCACTTCCCATTTAAACGTTTTAATAGTAGCTAAATTTCATGATGTTAAAAATAGCTAAGTTGTTCCTTTGGAGTTAAACAGCGTTAAAATTCGAAATAATCGTTTCTAACTATTTCTGCATATAGTATTACTACGTGGAAGTGATTTTAGATGGTTCCATCTTATGAACGAGTATCTGTAGTCCAATGTAGTTGTGAGAGTTACAATTATCCTCACTGATGTTCAATAAGAATGATTTCATACTTCATTCTAGTAATTTCTTCTATCACAAATCATTTTTTCACTTGATCTCTTTTAGAAAATGATAAATCTGAAAATTTAAAGTCCGCTTGGCGTGTGTTAGATAAACCTTTGTATTTGTTAGTCCAATCTCAGAAAAATGTATCCGGTGAATGGAATCTTCCAATTGCACCAGTATCCGATGGAAAAAATTTAAGACAGGTAACTATATTAATGTATCCGGCTATGAAAACGTTTATATATAATATTCTAATACTTCATAATATAGCCAGTGTATCGTCAAAATGCATAGCATTTTTCCTAGTACTGATAACATTTATTAAGATCACCGTACAATCTACTAAGATTGCCATAAAATATCAATTTTTATGTTTCCTTAAGTTCGTACACTCTATACCAAAAGTATATGGTAACTTGAAAATACGTATTAAACTTAACGACTCGTAAATTGGTTCTTCAAGCTTTTAATACGCAGAACCATATTTTTCTAGAGTTATGTATAAGCTATGTATACAGAACATTTGCACTATTTGTTTTTCTGGAAACAACAAAAGCTTTCCTATACAGGATGATATTCTTTTCCTTCTTATTGCATATGTTGGTGTGAATACGGTTTAACTGTTATTGTGCAGTAATAAGAGATATTAGGCTTGCGCAATCAATAGTGTAGTTTGTAATATCGTGAGGCTCAATTATGATTCAGAAGTTAACATAATTATATAATACTTATTTTGATAACACAACTATCTACAAAATATTTAACACAAAAATTAATTTGATTAAAGCAAGAACAAGTGTAGCAGAATAAAGTAAAATCAGTTGTTTTGTCAGTTGCTTACAACTTAGAAACAATAATTATTGTGAATTCACTTGGTGTTGTTTGCTTGTATTTTCCTATTGTTGTTTAGGACTGCAATTGATCAGTCTCTTATTGGCATATATGCATTCTGTGCGGATTGCCTCGATATTACCTCAAGTCGCAAGCATGATGTACAGAATTGATGGTGGCTAGCAGTGAAATGCATAACGCGCGTCTCGTCCTATTTAGAACTCATCATCTGGGTGTACCTGAATCTCAGAGTTGATGCTCACTCCAGACAATCCTCATTGGATGTACATATGCTAATAAGAGACTGATCAATTGCAAACCTAAACAACAATGCAAAGATACAAGCAAACAAAACTAGGTGAATTTAAACTTCAGACCATTGCAAAAGCAAGTGGCTATCATTACTCAGTAGGTAAATGACGAACGGTACTAGGTCTCCACTGCTAACCGCTATCCATCTTTGCGTAATACTTATTACGGTTTATAACAATGTGCATACTTTGTATAATCAAATCGAAGATCATAGTAGAATAACAACAACAGTTATAAAGTGGAACCATATAGTGGTGAGGTAAATGAATATTTACCAACTAAAAACTTCAGAATAAATTCTTTCTTAAACACATGGAGGTACGTTCCTAGAGCATGTATATAAAATTCTGATAAAACAACATAATTGGATGAGTAGAGCTCAAAAAGATCCAGCATTAAGAAAGGAATCTGTTATTACGAATACGAACTAAGGTATTACGTAACTCGATAGAAGAAACTTGAAGTTATCAGAGTAGTGATAGATTTACAACGGTTTCCTTTTGAATATATAGATTTGACTTTTTATAGCGATGACCCTTTGGTGACGTCGTAAATTCAAATCTGTTTAAGTATTTATCATTTTTGAGAGATTTTAAAATATCAAGCCATGGCATTGTTGAAAAAGACATTGACCTTTTGATCTTTATTTTTTGTGGAATATACTCTGAGATCCGATCATGAATTCTTTCTGTTCTTCCGAAGTAAATGCTCTGGCATTAGCTGACGAACTGGTAAGTGCAATCGGATGTAACTTGAAGTGGGGATTTACCCTTTTTTGTCCTCCTTGATATGCTATTTGTTTGATACATAGAAAATAGTTTAGCGGCTGAATACGTCCTCTTAAGTGAAGCACTTAGTCTAGAATTAATCATGCTCCCTTTTTTATCACCTTTAAAACTGAGTTATAAGAAGGCTGATTTTTTCTCGACTGTGACAAATTTCATTCCTTTTTTTTTCTTGTTTCCTTATAATTACTGATGAACTTTTGTGGAGAATCATTATCTCGCAGACATTTTTCAGTCTTCCTTTCTCAATATTAGTTTCAATAGTGTTTTAACCAAAACCTTCTTGTAGTTTGATGGAGTTTTGTTCTCTGAGCTGGATGGTTTGGTCGTGGAGCTTTCATTGTTCTTCTGAACGACATCATCAGCACAAACTTCAGATAGAAGTGAAGTGTTCGAAATTTCTCCATATGCGTTTCACAGCTTGTTCTGTGCACCTCGATGTTGATTGGTTCTTATTGACCTTAAATTTGTCATTGTTTACCTTTTTGTCTTGGTTTTGCCTCCTATTGGTTTGATTCTCAAAGAACAAAACTCCATCAAAATCATCCACCTGAGCTACAAATCTCCACCTTCTTGTAGTTTATTGGACAGAAACTATTGAAATTCAAGTAAAACCTACTCCAAGTGTCTTTTCGATGAATAAATCTTTCTATATGACCATTCGAATTGGGCTGAATATTAATATAAAGAAAATAAAATTTACCATCCTATTCATGCCTTATTGTAAATTATACAAAAAAAAGACAATATTGTTTATGATGAAAAAGTGAGTTTTTTTTTTAGGTTATTTGTACCAATTCCAGTATTTATAACTTAATTCTTTTGCCTACCAATATCATCTGAAAGAAATCACTACTATACTTATATTAAATTTCATTCACTTTTGTCCCTCTCCAGGTCGCTGATTCAATAGCAACAAATTTATTACCATCAAGAGCTAAATGGTGTATATTTGGCAATACACCAGTTGCTGTTTGGTTAACCAGAGATAGAAATAAAGAAGATACTGGTATACAGGTAAGTGTATCTTTACTAAATACTAATAGTAGAAATCATATAGTTGGGTGATTCTTAGAGATCTATTTAATTTTTAGAGAAAGTTTGTTTATATCATAGGCTGAAATTTGGGCAATCATTGAGATCTAGTTGTTTCGTCATGGTTTAAAACTTTAGGTTTTCTGAACTAGATGGTTAACTCATGAAGCTCTCATTCTTTTTAGACATTATCTCTATTATACCCGCTGCTTTGTAGCGGTCAGGCTTGCATATCTTTAATTGCTAAATCGAATTATATTAATCAGGATATTTGTTTCTTCAAGTACTACCAGTTCTAACAATAAGACTGAAGACAATTCAAAGTCTGAGGGCAAAGTTGTACGGTCAAATGTATAGAAGTATGACATCTGCAATGATGCTGACTCTCAACAACGGGTAGAGACTAAAGATTGTCATTGTTAGAAAATAATACACCCAACCTAACACAGATTTCTGTTAACAAAACAATGTTTATTGCCAATTATAATAATATCTCCACAACACCTAAATTGATAATTATAATATGCTCAGTTGTGACTAACTTCGTGAGAAAATTCTCGCAGTTCCGGTGAGAAGTCGTGACCAGTGGAGCTAATCCGTGTCGGGTAGAAACAGGTGTCTACCTTAGTACAATGAAAGATAATCGCGCAACTTCGTGGATTGGTTGAAGTTAGACATTAATACCGTTGGATGCCGGCTCAGTGGTCGCGAGTAGGTTAAGCGTTCACGCGCAAGACTAAAGGCCCTAGGTCCGAATCCCGCGAGCGGGATCGTGAATGTACACTGTTAAGGAGTACCATAACCGGGACGAAACGGCCGTCCAGTGCTTCCAGGTTTTCACTAGTAGTCTAACATCAATCAGTTCATGATCTCATTCAAAAAAAACTTGACAATCTCCACAACACCTAAATTGATAATATTCATATTCTCTCCTCTTATATTTCTGTTTATATTTATAGGTATACTTTTACAATGTCTATGTTGATAGACATTGGCATGGTGAAGATTTAATTTTAAATAATGATTACAATATTGATAATTTTGCATGGATACCAAGGACTGAATTTAAAAAATTCATTCAACCAAAAACACTTTTAAAAACTATAAAATCATTTGCTATTGATTATTGAATACTTTATTGATTTATTTTTTTCCTCGTCACTGTACATGAAACAAATTGTTGTAAATAGCCTTCTCTTTTCTATACTTCAAATAAAGTTATATTAATGAATGACTTCATGTAAGTTTGTACGTTAAATGGAATTGTAAAATAAATTGTCTAAATGATATTGGAGTTAATGAAATTACAAATCAGATTAAATGTTTCGTTGAAGATTAACACTTGTATTTTCTGGATGATAGCTTTCGTAGTTCTCCAAGTTTCCGCCCCCAAATGCCCTGGTACGGCCGAGAGTGGGGAGAGTCCGCTCTCCCTCTCCAAATGCTCTCACATGGCCATGCGTATATAGCCTCTGCCAGGGAAGTCCTACTCACTGCCTTCTCGTGGCGGGGGTGTTGTTTACAAAAATGAGAGGACGAAAAGCGAATGTCCGGCGCTTTAACCGGACCCCAAACCAATGGTGCACATGGGCTGGCTCCAGTATCCTGAAGGAACAAATGGCGTATGGACCAATCGTTGGTCACCGGCTACCATGGGACTGCATCTCCTTACGATGCTCCACTGCCTTGTGGATCAGATCTTCAGGTCGAAGGCTCGGGGTGTGGTCCCCTAAGAAAACCACCTGCTTCGGTTTGGGCACCCGAGCAGTATCACAGCCCTCACACAAATCAATTGAGATTTGTGTGGCGCATATGTATTTGGTGCCTCCCTGTACCTATACTTATGTGTTAAAATAAATCTCCAAGTTTCCGCCCCATACATTATTATCTGCATCAGATCCACCATGTTCAGATGTGAAGGTGGGGATCGGCAAAGCAAGAGCAGCATATCTACAATTGAAGAACATCTGGAACTCAAAACAACTATCTGTCAACCAACACCAAAGTCAGAATTTCCAATACAAATGTCAGTACAGATCTATTGTATGTGGCGGAAACTTGCAGAACTACGAAAACCAACATTTTGAAGATATAAGTATTTATTAACAGTTGTCTAAGCAAAACACTTCAGATCCGTTGTCCAGACACTATCAACAACAACCTACTATGGGAGAGAACAAACCAGATCCCAGCGGAGGAAGAAACACTGGAAGTGAATAAAACACACGTTGAGGAAAGCACCCAACTGAGTTACAAGGCAAGCTCCCACATAGAATTCTCAAGGCCAAAGGGAAAGAGGAAGACCAAAGAACACATTACGGCGAGAGATGGAGACAGATATGAGAATGAACAAAAATTGGATTGAACTGGAAAGGGAGGCCCAGGACAGAGTGGGTTGGAGAATGCTGGTCGGCGGCCCATGCTCCATTAGGAGTAACAGGCGTAAGTAAGTGAAGATTAACATCACTTGTATTTATTTGAACACATAAATATTGGTACAAAGGGGCACTGAATACATATGCAGCACACAAGTCACTTGATTTGTGTGTGGGTTGTTATATTGTCCAGGAGCCCAGACAAAAGCAGGTGGTTTTGTTAGGGGGGAGCCACATCCGGAGCTTTCGACCTAAACGTCTGGTCCACAGGCAGTGGAGCAACATTAGGAGATTCAGTCTCATGGTAATTGGTGACCAACGATACGTTCATACGCCATTTGATCCTTTAGGGTCCTGGAACACATGTGCACCATTTGTTTGAAATCAGGGTTTTCCAAATCTCCTAGATGGTTCCTCCATATCCACCAACCCTGTTAAAGCGCCGGACATTTGTTTTCCGTCCTCTCTATTCCGTAAGCAGCACCCCCTTCCCGAGAAGGCAGTGAGTAGGACTTCCCTGGTAGTAGCTGTATATGTGTGGTCATCTGAGAGCATTTCGAGAGGATTGTCAACAAATATCAAAATCGGAATCTGCAGTACGAATGTCGAGACAGTTGTACTGTATGGAACTGAAACTTGGAAAACTATCGCAACCATCATCAAAAAGATACGAATAGTTATAAACAAGGTCCGTTGAACGGATACTACCAGCAACAAACTGCTGTGAGAGAGAACAAACTAACTTCCATCTGAAAAGGAAATTAGGGAAAGACGATGGAGGTGGGTGGGACATACATTACGGCCGAAGAATAAGCTACGTTGACTATTGGAAGCAGACATAAAAAGGATAAATAGCAACTAGAAAGGATTGTCCATGACAGAATTGGATGGAGAATGCTAGTGAATGGCCTATACACCTCGACGAGGGGTAACAGGCTTAATTAAGCAAGTCAATTCAGGTTGTATATATCGGGACGGAAACTGATGAAAATTGTAGTGTTGAATATTAATAACAGGAAATTGATACAAACAAATAGTGTCATTAAAACAGATCTTAAAACAAATACAAAATGAACCCCCCCCATATCAATATATTTGGTGCAATAATTACAAATATGTACAAAATATAACTTCAGAATTGGAACTGTTTAACAAAATTCAACTGAATCGTATTATCCACACATCTAATACATCATACACCTTGATCAGTAACTTAGTCGTTTATCATCGTTGCTTCCTTAATCACTTTTTAATTATGCTCTTTTTGCTATACGTAACTTGGCTGAACGACTTCTTGGATTAGAATCTATCTCCGAATCGGAAGGAGTTATAGGTCCAATAACCTTTAATAAAGAAAAAAAATAACATCATAGTGTTGAAGACAACTGATATAAAACCAAATGTATTAAGAAGCATGAAATCAGTACATTGTTAAAATCACCATTTTTTCGGCTTATATGACAAATGAATCTGATAACTTTTAGGTTGGTTTTAAGAATAAGTTAAAAGTTTACAATTTTTGAAATAACGCGGATTGTAGTTGTCGAGGGATTCAGTTGATAAGCTATAAATGGTTTAAAATTTGCATTAAGCACAGGAGTATTAGTTACCATCAAGTGCTATTTGAATTATTACTCATTTACTGTATTAAACACTAATAGCTATGCACTAAATGGAACTAACTAGATTTATTATGTAAGTTGTACACTGATGATGTATGCTATCTATAGTCGAAGAGGCCCACGTGCACTATTGATTTGGAATCAGGGTTTTCAATCCCTCCCCTGGGGAAATCCTCTGTATCTACTAATCCGGTGTAAGCGCCAAATATTCACTTTACGTCTTCCCGATTACGTAAACAACACTACTCTGACAGTGGCCATATGAGATTATTTTGAAAGGCAGAACGAACTCTCCTCACCCTCGGCTGCACAAGACCATTCAGAAATCAATTATAGATAACATTGAACTTGGAAAATATGTTTATCGGTCTGAATTACCACCATATATCAATACAATCAAATGGAAATATTTAAGATACATGTCGAACTATCAGAAGTAGTAACATTATCATTAGTAGTAGAAAATAATATAATCTGAGAACTTAAATTATCACAAAATTATTTCACTTACACAACTCCATTTCGATTTTATTTGTCCTAAAGATCCGTCTAATATTTCATCATTTTCATATTCTTGTCTTTTATTAGTACATTGAAAATTTCGACTTCGTTGTGATAAATATTTTGATAATGCTAAATGTTTACAATCATAATGAAATGCCCATTTAATTAAACGATCTTCTAATGAATGAAATGATAGAACAACTAAATAACCACCAGGTTTTAATAAGAATTCAGCTAATTCTAAACCGATACATAATTCGTTTAGTTCATCATTAATGAAAATACGTAATGCTTGGAATACACGTGTAGCTGGATGAATCGAGCTGAAAAGAATGATAAATACATAGAGAGAGGTTAAAATATGTGATTGTATATAATATTGATTGGTCATAGGATAGTGAACAATGCTATATGGCTGCTTATTTGTGTTGATTGAATTCTATCAACCAAGTTACAGTAGTATCCCTGGTCTAAGTGAATCGATACCTTAAGTACAATGTTAAGAAGTTAGGCAGTTGAAGGTGGTCTCTAGGAAACGCTTTATAACTTGTATTTTGTGTAACCTGAGACTCATATACAGCAAGGCATACCTACAAATTTCAGGGTTAGGGTGTGAGCTATTTAATTACTTTACAAGTGCTAAATACCCTGGTTTTGATGGCATAACCTCCGAATGGTTGCATTTGGGGGTTTTATCAGATTAAGTTGTCTTTACATTCCTGTTGACTATCTTTTTGGATTAACTTCTGTTCAAGAAATTGGTTGACATTTTCCGCATAGAATGGCTAATAAGGTTTATATCGATATGTTGCCTATTGATTGCAGATTGACTTGAATTTCATGTTTCTAGAAATTCCCTGTCATTTTCCGGATTTCCTCGATTTCTTAATTATATAAGTGTCTGTGTACATTATTATGAGTGACAAGATGTCGTTTTGTTTTACTGTTGTATAACGTGTAGATACTGTTATATCCCGAAGAGAATTATGAATGGTAACTTTTGAGAACTATTTATGGATCAAAACAATACATATATATCTTACTGTATGATTGTTAAGTAACTGAACTATTCATATTCACGTTCCTCTTATTATAAACTTTAGTTTGACCCATAGACTATTACTATACGATTTACCGTTCTTGAGTTATACTCAGTCTATTAACTACGGTCTCCCACATTCACAGCCACTTCTAGTTAGATCTTGTACAAATGTTATTTTCCATTTTATGGTACGATGTGGTCTATTTGATTGGTATATAAACCCAGTGTGTTTGAAATACATAATGCAGAGGCTGAGATTGGCGTTTTGGACTTAACAGGCAGGGTTAAGTAAGAAGAAGGACCGACAAAGACTCTGGACTGTTAGTGCGGGTTTCTGCGTCATTGGTCCGGACGATAAATCAATATTGTCCATTGGACCGATTGGCCCAAGACCAATCTTAAAAAGGGGATTGAACATACCGCTTCCATATAACCATAAATACGATTTAGAAAGTTTAGTAAATGACAGTCGAAAAGAAATTCTCCTCATTGACCTATGTTTTATCTAACAATGGAGTGGATTTCTTTCAGAGTTTCAGCATAAATTGGAAATACTCTTCAACAAGTATAGAACCTAGAATTTTCAAATCTTATGATGCGTATATCATAGGTATACATAGCTAAACAGATGAAAACAGAACAAAAGTATCATTCATTCAATTTATAACGACAACTCGGAAATATACATGAAATCAAACACTTGTATTGATGTAGTTTTACTTACCCCCTATCTTCTCTATTCCCTGGTACAACAGAACGAATTAAATCAGCTAACTGTTTTGTTGTTTGAATGGAACCAGCATCGTTCCTATAATCAACAATAGCTTTTGCAATACGCCTGGATAAACGTTCTTCACCATAAATGCTGAATATATTCGATAGTTCATCAGCATTCAATGTATTAATGACATCAGCTGCAGTTGGTGTATCTTTTCTGTAACATACAGATTAAGACCAATATAAAGAGGAGTGATTTATTCAAAAGTTTTAAAGTTGACATTATACAAAGTAGTAGGTAGGAAAATTGCAGAAATTTTGAAAGTACTGTTATATACTAGTTACAATTAGTACTGTTTGGTCGGTCTTGAAGAAGAAGTTAGACTACACTTTAACAAGAAGGCCAGTAATACAAAGTTACAATTATTAACATTGGATTATAGAGTCTGCTGAGTTTTATTGAAACAACAAACAGACCTAAGTTAGACAACCATTGAAAACTTGGAAGCATATACAGTGAAGTTCAACCGTATCAGGTATGAAGAAGTTACTCACCGAAGACAATAAATAATGGTTACGTAATGCCCCGGATTGATGTAAGTCACATCATTTGCTTTCATCTCAGTGGTTTAAAAGCGTGAGACCGTAGATCCTGGATCTCATACCCAGTTGTTGGATCATCGATACACACTGCAAAGGAGTCCCATACTAAAACGAAACTGTCATCCTGTGCATTCAGATTTCCAGTGGTTGTCGAAGTGACATCGATTTGTGATTTCAATAAAATTATAAATGTCATTAGATGAATGATTGCACCATGATGAGTAACATTTTGGTGAAATGAAAATAAATTTATGTAGGTAATAATAATAATTGAAGGTTCTTTTCATAAATGATCAGATTCCTGACCCCATATCAAACCCTCTTTCTTTGTCCAGACATGGGACTGGCATTAACTCTAGAAGGGTTACATATAGATGTCAACAAATCCAGGTGAAGATAGCCAGTGTAGTAGCAGCCTCTGCAGCAGTATACCACAAGGAAAAATGCGAGACCCTCAAATAAAACAAAGTGAGGAGTAAAAGAAATCACACCTGATGGAAATGCTTTAGAAGATGTGGAAACTTTTACACAGTTGGACAACATCGTTGATAAACAAGGGGAATTTGATACAAATGTGAAGGCACGGATCGGAAAAGCAAGGACAGCATTTCTATAGTTGAAGAACATATGAAACTCAAAACAACCATCAGTAAACATCAAAGTCACAAGTTTTAAAACAAATGTCCAGAAAGCTCTAAACAGTTTTCCGTTGTGTACGGAGCTGAAACTTAAAGAACTACCAAAAACATTATGAAAATAGTATACATATCTATAAACAATTGTCTACGTAAGGTATTCCAAATATGTTAATCGGACAAATCAACAACAAACCACTGTGATAGAGAACAAACCAGCTTCCGGCTGAGAAGTCAAGAAAAGACGCTGGAGGTGGATAGGTTACACTTCACGGAAATCTTCAAACTGCATTACATTCCGAACCAGCAGGGGATCGGAGGTCGACATCACAAGAATGAATAGAACTTGACAAAAGCTAGAAAGGAGACCCCAGACCATTGTTTTTTGCAGAATCCTGGTCGGCGGCACTAAGAGTAACATGGCTAAGTAATAAAAATTAGGTTTAACTATTAGGATAAAACAGTGAATTCAAAGTCACGATGTACACATAGCATCACGATTATAACTATGGCCAACAACATTACTAGTTTCATTGAACAAAGCATGATAAGCATTGAGATATTAAGGTATTCACACACCCGCCACTTTGAACATGAAATATAACCGATGATAATAATCATCATAAAAGATACTAATGATTTCAGGAGCTACTAGAATTGTTAAACGTTAAAATGGACATGCTGACTGATTTTAAGACGAGCTTATATATTTCATCGGATTAATCCAAAGTACTTGATAAATATGGCAAGTAAATTGACGGAGTAGTCAATCTTGGTCGACTGGGACGGTTAGGATGTATATTGTTCTCCATCCATCGACTACCTCACCGCGCGACGATGGCTAGTGCAGGATTTGTTCGGAAGAAAGATAAGGGAAGTCAAACAAAAACATGATATTAGTTCATAAAGATAGCTACTAACGGACTGAATCACGAAGGTAGGTGTAGACTACCTGATTGAAGTCTACACGATTACCGTAACCAGTGGCTAAGAACTGAAAGTGGCATAGCTCAAAATTGATCGTAATGGTGCAGATGTATTCACTATTTATCTCCTTTTATATCATAAGTTTCCAAGTTCCCTATAATCTTTTATTTCACTAACTCATATTTCCTCAAATCGTGCTATTAATACCTAATTTTTTATTACCACTAATACTGTTACTAATGCAACAAGTTGATCATGTAGGCCGAATCCTTCTTGATACTGACCGAATTCTAGAGGTCAATTTGTAATGTTGTCAACAGTCTAAGTAACTCGACAACGTATGCAATATGTTGAGATGCAAAGTGTTGGTCGGAGGTGGTCGACAGGATCTATATTTTATCCTACTTGGAACTCATCAACAAGGTGTACCTATGAACTTGAAGGAACTAGTCGTTCAAAGTTTCCAAATGACTATCTCCAACCACCACCTTGTATCTCAACACTGTTACTATCTTTACTACTCTGGAATTTGCTTTAAAACTTCATATTGCTGTCTTAATGGAAAATAGCACTCTGAACTGATCTACACATACGCCAGACTCGATGTTACATATGACTAACTGATCAATTAAACAAAATTTCGAATTTCGAAACAATTGATAATAGCATATGTTGATTGTTTAGTTCTACATAAAACGGAATAATAGTAGTTTTTCAGACCTTCTTTTCTTAGATCTTGAGTTTTAAGATTACCTTATACGTTTTATTCTCTAAATTCATTCTTTCTTCTCGTATTATGTTGTTTGTGCTTAGTTTGTTTTACTACTGTAGTGTATGCTACTTAAGTTGACGGATATAAGTAGTATGTAGCATCAATCGAAAGTGGAATATATGCCCGTAGAAGATTGAGAAGATTCAATTGAAGAGAACAGAAAGTAATTGTAATAACAACAGAATTGAAACAATCATGAAATATGTAAAGGCGAACTGGTGGAAGATGTGTAAATGAAGTATTTAATGTATGGTTTTCATATTTTACACGAAGACATTCTGTAATTTCACAATAAACAACAAATTGGGTTTCCCCACCAGGTCTTCGTTCACTACATTACTACTATTACTATCATTATAAGCAAAGATGGATAGTGGCTATCAGTGGAATCCAGGACACGCGTTTCGTCCTATTTGGGACTCGTCAACTGGATGTACCTGCATCTCAGAGTTGGTGTTCACTCTGGGACTCAAACCCAGTACCATTCGTTTCAAATGCCATCGCGTTATCCACTCAGCTACTGAGTCCTGATAGCCACTTGCTTGTGAAATGGGGTGAAGCCACTATCCATCTTTGCTTATAACGCTTGTAAATTAAGGCAATTACCCACAGTATGCACATATACCATTAAGAGACTGATCAATTTCAGCCCTAAACATCAATGGGAAGATTCAAGTAAAACAATACAAAGTGAATTATTATTACTACTGATTTAAACAGTTTGAAAAGATAATAAAAGATCATTACTATGTGTGAATAGAAGCTTATAGGTTAGGCCAATCAGATCTATAGGTTTAAAGTCAAATGATCAGCAGAGATTATGACAGGTACATGTTATTGAGTCAAGATTTGGTTCGATTTTCCGAGGGAACAGATATATGCTGTTGATTGAAAATCGGGTTTCATTTTTTTGAAACACATATGTTAATATCAACAAATGGATTTATGAATACATTTTGACCCAGTTAACCAATGGAAGCCTCCTATTGACTATTGGTTTTCTCATTCAAGTGTAGTTGGTTCGGGAAGTCATATAGGAAGCATATATATATATCACTAGAAGACTTGAACGACAGTAGAACATAACAGAAACATTGAGTATATACAATATCCTGTGCTTCCAAATCGTCAACTCAAAGTTAGGATAAACGCTAGAGAAATAATCATTTGCGTGCATGACTCTACGAGAACATTTGTGGTTCGGGAAAAGATGATAAACAATGAAGCATATGAAGAGCTAGACTTCTGAGAACTTCTAGAGATATTTTGAATAATGAAAACAGGGACGGGATATATGTATTGCTAGGGGATAAGATTGACTTACTCTGATGTTTTGGGTATGAAGTTCTTATGGTTTCAGTTTGCTTATTCACTGAACAGACTACTTACATGTAAACTAGAGAAAGCCAGCAATCAAATTAACATCTTTTAACTTACTGTACATTTCGACATTGATTCATACGCATATCTAACGGAGCATTATGTTTAAAACCAAATCCACGAAATTCATTGTCTAATTGTGGTGAACTTACACCTAAATCCATAAGAATTAAATCAACTGATTGATATTTCAGATCATAGCCATTTAATAATTGAGGAAGATCACTAAATCGTCCAATAAGTGGATAGATTTTATGACTAACATAAAACGAAAGTAGAGAAAAAGACAGATAAAGCTTAACTATTATCATATCAGTTAGAGTCTTCTATTACTAATCGAAATTTATCGAACGATTTATAATCTGATCACTAGTATAGGTGACTCGGCAGAGTTCGCATAGTGTTTAAATGTTATGTGACTGGAAGTAATCAAGACGAGATATTCTATGCAGGTTGGTACGCATTAGAGACAAGGCGTATTTGCAACCTTGAAGGAACTGACGTTCTTTGTGGAATGTAAACTTGTAATTCTAATATTACAATTTGGTGCAGTTTACGAACAGAAATTTAGATGAAAACAATGACCATAATTTACAGATTTGATAAAATTATTATTCATTTAAACACATAAATATTTGTGCAAGGAGGCACCTCTAAATATTTAATCCAGTTTCATAGTCTCTCTCTCCAGTTATGAGGGGATCATAGATGAGACGACAGAATGAAAGTCAGTTTGTTGCTTGACCTAAGTTCGATTTCACAAAATCTGAATATTAATATGTAAACAGTTCTTAATTATGTCAACAGAGATTTAACCCATATATTTACGGGGGTAAGAGTAGTGACACTAGCTAGTAAACTGTGACCTAAAACATGTGATCCTGAGGTCGAAAATAGAGTATTTTTATCAATTTCCTACCGCTTCATGTGTTAACTGTTTCCTCAGGTAACTTATACTGAAACTATGTGAAAGACAAGGATTTGACATTGAATACTGTTACTACAAACAAACCAAAACGAAGCATCAGTCTATGAAGTCATTGACTATTGAACTGTGTTGTGTTGATAGATGCACACTAACAAGTTGGAGTCAACATCATTATCGTAACCGATGGTTGGCAACGTTGAGTGGAATGGTGCAGAATCAGTCACAATGGTGTAGACATATTCACTCCTTGTCTTATCCTAGATCTTTCTAGTCCGCGAGTTCATTTTTTTCTCGAATTATATCGCCTATGTCTAATCTTTTCTACTGCTACTAACATTGTTAATACTTTTACTACTCTGGGATCTATATTGATAACTTAATCTCGCTGTATTGATGTGGGGTGGAAAATTCAACCAGTACTTATGTTTCCGATTCTACACCGCTGACTGACTGTTACTGTACTGATTAAAACTTAATACATCATTAATAATTAGCTACGTAGTTACCAGTGGAGTTCAATCAGGTCTGTTGTAAGATAGTAACTCACTGAAGACAATGGTGGATGTGTCGCTCAATTTCGTGGATTAGTTGAAGTTAGACATTAATACCGTTGGATGCCGGCTCAGTGATCTAGTGGTTAGGTGCTCGCGTGCGAAACCAGTAGGTCCTGGGTTCGAATCTCTCAGGAGGCGAATTCATGGATGTACACTGCTGAGGAGTCCCACAATAGGACGAAACGGCCGTCCAGTGCTTCCAGGTTTTCCATGGTGGTCTAGCTTCAACTGACTCATGATCCTAACCGATGAAATTAGCTACGTTGTCTGATAGGACAAGTTGATGTTGTCTACTCTTTTTCTTATAACTAATTAGATTATGACGTAATTTTTATTTTGCACATTAACTTTGTAAGTTTTGGAATATTACATAATACAATTTAGCTTAGAAAATACTTTCATCATTTAGTTTTAATATTAACTAGGATTGTGGTGTGAGCTACTTATATCTATATAAGTAGTATATAACGATGGTCAAGCATAGAATGCATTTCAGTAGAAGATTGATAAAGAAAGAACGGGAATGAAACGCAATTGATATGAAAATGCATGAACAATGAAATCTGAGACAATGGACTGATATTTGCAAAAGGAACAGTCAAGTTTGGGACGATGGATTGATATTTTGCAAATTAACTATTTACCATATGGTTCGTAGATTATAATGAGATGCTCTGTAATTTCATGTCAAATATATTCGATTGTCCCCACTCGTGTTCGTGTTCACTACAGAATAATACAATACTGAACTACTCCAATCAACTTCTTTGCTCCCCAGAAAATAATTCAATATATCATCATGGAATATATTGTTTATAGAATATGAAACAAACTTGCCCCCAAATGCCCTGGTACGGCCGAGAGTGGAGTGGGCCCGCTGACCCTCTTGAAATGCTCTCAAATGGCCACGCGTATATAGCACCTGCCAGGGAAGTCCTACTCACTGCCTTCTCTTGGCATTACTGTTGTTTAAGAAAATGAGAGGATGAAAAGCGAAGGTCCGGTGCTTTAACCGGATTACAAACCAATGGTGCACATGGGCTGGCCCCAGTATCCTGAAGGAACAAATGGCGTATGAACCAATCGTTGGTCACCGGCTACCATGGGCCTGCATCTCCTTAAGATGCTCCACTGCCTTGTGGGTCAGACGTTCAGGTCGAAGGCTCGGGGTGTGGTTCCCTAGGAAAACCACCTGTTTCGGTTTGGGCACCCGGGCAGTATCACAGCCCTCACACAAATCAATTGAGATTCGTGTGGCGCATATGTATTTGGTGCCTCCTTGTACCAATACCTATTTGTTAAAACAAAAATAAAATAATTAAATAATGAAACAAACTTACCTGGATGTGCTATAATTTGTACGAAGTGATTCCATAAATGAGAAACTTGTTGGATCACGGTCTAGAAAGTAACAAGTTAAATTATCGGCAGCATATTTCAATATTTCATTTGCATGACCTCCTGTACCAAAAGTCATATCTAAATAAACCTAGATTAAATGAATGAATAGAAAGGAAAATGAATTTTTGGAGTAATCGGTATAGAATTTCTATCCATTTATTGTATATTCACCTTGTCAAAGCTGAATTAGATGGGCTAGTGTTTAAAATTTATAGTTATGTAATTGAAAGTTCAGTGTTTAAAACACTAAGCTACTGTTACTTCTTTAATCCATTTGTCCACTAATATACATGAGAGAATTTATCTCGATCTAGTTTAAGGCCTTGACATGATAGACTATCTAATTCAGTTTCGAGGCTAATAATGCATGAAACTTTGGTGACAGAGAAACGAAAACTATTCTATGACCCAATTGGTTAACAAGAGAGAGAAGGGATGAATTGGCTGGAGCACTACCTGTTTTATTCTTGATTCACATCAATGCAAAAAGACACATGGATGAATAGATGACCAACACGATCATAACGCAAATAGAATTAAGATAGGGAAAATGTAGTGCAAAAAGTTACAGCTAAACCACAATAATTTTTGAATAGAAAAACGTATGGCAGCGAATCATGTATCAAACGAAAGCTTATGGTTCAGTTAGAAATAAGGGACTAGAGACAAACATAACATATCTAACTATTCACTGACCAATCAATGTAAACATCTCAGTCATACAGAAAGTTAGCCGTGGTCTGAGCAGCTCAGTAGTAACGTCGTAGACTGTGAAACAGTGATGCTGATTCAATTCCCGCATAGATTACGGTTCTCTTAAGACTACAGGTAAGCACCAGCTGACAAACAATAACTGGTGTAAAAGCTAGGTTAGGTGAAATTTTCTCCCGAATCCTAGTAATGACTGAACATCTAAACAGTGCACTTGACATCGAGTAACTTAAACTGGTGACCACATAAAAATTGGTCCATCAGCATTAAAAATAACAAGGAAAATATGATAGTGGTTACTACATGACGGTTAATCAATATACAATAAAGATAAACAACTAAACTTTAGTACAACTGACTGAAAGATGATTAATGAAATGCCCTGGTACGGCCTAGGGTGGGGAAAGTCAGCTCTCCCTCTCCAAATGCTCTCACATGGTCATGTGCATACAAGCACTGCCAGGGAAGTCCTACTCACTGCCTTCTCTCGGCGGAAGTGTTGTATATGAAATTGAGAGGACGAAAAGCTAATGTCCAGCGATTTAACCGGGTTGGTGGATACAGAAAATCAACAAAAAGTTGGAAAACGCTGATTCCAAACCAATGGTGCATATGGGCTCCAGGACAAATGGCGTGTGAACCAATCATTGGTCACTGATTACATTGGGACTGCATCTCCTTTCACTGATTCACTGCCTTGTGGATTAGATATTTAGGTCAAAGGCTCCAGGTGTGAACTCCCAAGAAAACCACCTTCTTAGGTTTGGGCACCCGGGTAGTATTATCGCCTGCACACAAATCAAGTAATTTGTGTGGCGCATATGTATTCGATGCTTCTTTGTACCAATATTTATATGTTCAAACAAATAAATAAAGTGAAGAGAATTAGATGGTGATTGGAGGTAGTTGACAGGAAACCCTGGACCCGGGTTTCGTGCTACTTGGCACTCGTCAGCAAGGTGTACCTGTAATCTTCGAAGGAACTGGTGCTCCCTGGAGGATTCGATCCCGTGTCACCTCACAATAGTGCCCGCAGTGTCGAGTCACCTAGACTGGTGGCCACATTGCAACATGATCGATAGCATTCGATCTGCACTAATAATAAGGACTAGACACGCATGACATTGGTCACCCAGTGATCAATCAATTGTGAAAGTGAAGAGAAGTTTGTGATATACGATAGTAGCATCCAAATTTGAATCATATTCGTTTTTTTTTATAAAAATACATATGAAAGCCTAACAATAGTGCTGCTTATTTGATTATAAGTAACTATTTTTTCACTTACAAAATAACATAGACAGAACTACTGCGTAAGTTATACACCTTTAACCTAATTACCTAAACACTATTATAGAAAACAATAAATAGATCAAACATAACCAGAAGTATCTATCATCATAGCAACGAAATAGTTCAAAGTGGATTGCATTGACGTGGAGATAATCATTCCTTTTTATTGAACCATATTTTGTCTGCTGTTTGATATTATTAATATCTTGATCACGTTTGAATCTTATAGTTTTTCACGTCTTAGAATTTTTGCTTGTTCTGCTGATAGAAAGCAGAAAATCTTGGACTACTTAACATCTGTGTTAGGTTGTATATTAACAATGATCGATTGAATGATCAAATACATACATATGCACCACACAAATCGCATTTGATATGTGTGAGGGCTGTGATACTGCCCGGGTGCCCAAACCGAAGCAGGGATTGAATGATCTATCATAATACAGTACTTTCCATGATTTAAGGAAAATTTATTCAGTGTTTCATAGTCTCCTCTTCCTTTTAAATAACTGACAACTGAGTTACATCTTCTTAGCACTGACGTAGTACATTAGACTATGGAAGTCAAAGTGACGAAATTGTCGCATTTTACTGTTTGATTTCATCGCTAAAGTACGCTTCTGAAAATCGACCAGCTTAATTATGTAGAAGGAGAAGAACAAAGACTTCGTGGGCGTCTTTACTAATAAAATACAAATAATAATGCTTGTGATTCTCGCGTATACATATATATAATCGAACTGACCTCGACAGAGATATATATTATGGATAGGTATCCTAAGTAAATAATTCACTTACAAGAGCTATGTACAAATAAACTTGGATTATTTATCCACTATATGGTTTGATCGGAGTTGGTCGGTATACTTAAAACTGTAGTTCGTGATTTTTTATTTGTTTATAATAAAAAATAATAAAACAAGACAAGTAGATCACTAACTTGACCTGGTTTCGGTTGGGTGTATTTTACAATTTCTGATTTCATAATTGGAATATGTGGAGGAACTGACGATGATGAATATACAATTGATGATGATGATGATGATGATAACATTCGGAAACGGATTAATTGTTCATATTTTTTGAAAATAATCTGAATATATTGGTTCATTTGTATTGGATCTAATAAATAAACGAAAAAAGTGCTATCAGTGTAATAAGGCGTTCTTTCTAAAATAGAAAATTTCAACACATTTGACAAATATTTACATCTTGTTTCATATGAATAATTCCAACAAACATTCTCAGTAAAACTAATTCTACATATGGTATGCCAGCACATAAGTTACTGCCAAGATCATAACCGATTGTTAGATCTATAACTGGTGATAATCCACAGCAATATACTTTCGACTTTACCAATTACATCTCAGTAGAACTCTGGGAATCGCTTCCCGAATTTAGTGAATGTATTGGTTATTGCTAGTTGAGTTTTGGGGTATCGTTGAATTTTGTAGTTGATATCTCAAACTAACATTAGTTATACAATAAATGAACAGCAAGAACGACTGGCCTGCTGTTTCATCCTAGTGCGGAACTCCTCAACGGTAATCTTTTATGACTTATCCAGCGATCGAACTCAGATCGAGTGCTTAGGTTTAATACTGAGTTGGTATCCAAGATAAGTTCAGATTTCTAACTTTCATCAGTTTCCATTTCCTTATACCATCATCATCTATTGTCATCACTATAAATACTTTATTCCCATTGCATAATCGCTGCTAAATTTATCATGTAGTCTAACCTATTAATAGCATTTAGGACATGTTCATTGTTGTATCATCTCTCTCACTGTTTGTCTATAAATCTCACTTGCATAAATATTGGAAGTAGGATTTTAATTAAGCTAAAAACTGCTCTAATTGATTTCATCACAGATTGACCTCAAGTGGGAAAGTATTGGTAACTAGGAAGTACTGTAGACTTATTTTAGTCATAGTCAATAACTGCCCATTAATGAGTACTCTTATCGCACACTGATTTCCAATTCTCGCGAAAAAAAGTTAAACAACTGAATTGTAATTAACTAATCCAAATTCCCAACTTTAGTCAAACGTGATGAGTAACGACTATACATTGTAATGGGTGGTACCTATCTTGCTTTCCACATTGTTGAACTGCAACAGTCACAAATTCTCACAACTTCGGGAATTCGTCTCAAGACTAGTTATCAGTTAATAAACGGTCCCTTCCGGGGTCTTGGCTGCACACTGGTGAAAGTTTTCAAACTAAAACAAAGTACGTTTCCAGTGCTCATTAGTTTGAATGACGAGAATCATCTCAAGCAACGATCAATTCTTCACGATCAATCAAATAAACTGCAACATGAAAAATTTAAAATTGATTAGACTTTATGAAACTCTATAATTACAGCAGTAAATATTTTTTTCGTTGGTATACTAACAAAGCAAACACGAATATGAACAGCCAGTCTTGGTAAATAACACAGTTGATTACATATATAGCTGGACACATATGGCCTTTGTGTGAAGTTATATCCGACAGCTTCGTACTGTCAACAACCGAAATCAACGGAGACCTTTCCAAACCTCACACCATCTTCTATCCTATGAGGGCAGTACCGCTCCAGACACTGGTCTCATCAGAAAGATAGCTCACTGTCGCTACACTCCGGTAAAGCAAACAGTATGACTTCGGTCTCAGACTGAGCATGTAGCTTCCAGCCTCTCGGCTCAATTGCTCACATGATGAATTCTGAAGACTGGAAAAACTAACCCCATTTCCAGTTATACATATCGTTTACCAATCAATTCAACTCTTAGATTTTTGAAGAAAGAATTAACCTAATGTGTACTGGCTGACTAATTGAATCTAAATGAGCAACAAGTCATAGTGAGTAATGCTTTATTTTGTGCCTATAGGACTTTATTTTTTTAAAGGAATATTCTTATGATCAGTGACACAAGTGAAATGTACATCCTAATATGGTTTATGAACTTCATAGAAATTCGATAGACATGTTCTTGGAAAGAAATAGATCAACGGAAAAACCCTAACGTCCCAAAAGAAAAACGGAACATTTCAGAAAACCGGACTACGTCGCAACAGCACAAAGTAGAATACATTAGAGGAAATTCGGAAACATCGATGAATTAATACTGTAAAATCGATCAAATTAAAAAGCCTTCCCTTGTTGTTATCGAATTTACCAGTCCAAACTCAACTAGAACACAATACGATAATTTCAGAATTTTCCCATTTGTACTTTAACCGGTATATTCTGAAAATCTGTTCAAAAAAACGACACACAGAGAACGAAAGTATGGATATCCACCGTAAAAGAGAACTGTAGAATGACGTAACCCCAGATGCCTACACAACACTGATTAACTCGAACTCGATGAAGATTTCTGCAACAAAAATTACTATTAAACGTCATATTCAGACCTTATGAGTTTCATACAACTAAATCCCTTGATAAATCTAAACAGAGCAAAAACAAGGTTTGCAGAATAAAATGAACTCATCAGTCTATTTCATAGTTTCTCATAAGCTACATACAACTTAAATTATAACTACTAATATAGTTATTAACAAATCCTCAAAAACACTACATGTATAAAATGTCCCGAATTCCCAATGATACATTAAGATATCAAATTAACAAATCTAAGGTACCATCGCAACAATCGAAAACAGTCAATAAAACTCTTAATGAACTGATTATTGATTCAACTTACAAGGATGTGAAGGCAAAAGTATCACGACTGCTTTCTGTACATGGTCTCAATAAAGTGCATAAATCCAATATCCCATTAAGACCTATAATGTCTATGATTAATTCACCAAATCATAAGTTGGCTAAATTATTAGAACCAATTTGCAGAATAGTGAGGATCAATAGTTTAGTTCCAAAGAAATGGATCATTTGAACATATCAGATAGATTCATGGTATCTTTTGATGTGTTGATTATTTATGAGTATAACATTAGGAGCTGATGGTATAGCTCGCAAGCAATCCAATTTACTTCTTTCACCTCAAAGCGAATTACTCCTTTGCACGAAACGGAATTCGTTCCCAATCCAACAACCAGACGAAATGGCCATGGGACCACTACTAGGACGCATCTTAGCCGATATTTTCATGGCTAACCTAACGAACGAAACTAATGTACGAAAACCAGAACAACATACTTCTCCAGATACGCTGATGATAAGGACCACACCTCTTCGTTACTGAGTCAACTCACTAACTCTTGTCCCGACGTAATGATTACAGTTGAATACGAAAGAGATAACCTACTCAATCGCTATAAAATGTTCCCGACCTAACCTATGCATACAAGGTGTAGTTAGCTTTCGCTGACATAGTGACCGTTATTTACCCAGTAACCTCTATTCATTTCCGATTCTTTCGATATTCAACTCTTACATAATCTAAAGGTTCGCATATTTTATTATCTTATCATGACCGATCACATAGCAAGTTATTAATCTCATTACCTCTGAATTTTTAACTTCTCAACAAGTAAATACACATCGATCATAACTATGTCTATTCACACACTGTATCCCCATTCTTTTATTATAGTTTTGGCTACAGAATGCTAAACGTTTGTTAGTATTTGTAACAATGATTGTGATCTTAGGTTGTATGCAGATGATGAGAAATTGTAATTACGTTATACCTTTCAACGAAGTAATTCTTTTTCCCTGTGTCATAACTTTATATGAAATCCTTTTTACTACGATTGAAGTAATTGTTCCAATGAATTTGGTGTTCATCTTGCTGTGCTGAGGTATGGCAACTTGGACCGATGCATATACGTACCTGGTCGTAAAATGTAGCCGACTGATGAGAAAACGTGAAATAGACTGATAAATTCATTTTATTCTGCAAATTTTGTTGCCCTTGTTCTGTTTAAACTTATTACAAGTGTTTGGCTTAGACTTAAGAATCGGACAGTAATAAATCAAGAAGCCATCAGTTTGTAGACGTTATATTACAATTGGAGTTCAAAACACTACGCTTAATCTGTAACGTGTTTGGTATAGGTACGAAACACTTAAATGTAACCCTGTAAATAAAACATCAAATTGACCCAAGTGGACTTTTCTAAATAGCTAACTCTTCAAACAACACATCAGAAACATTGAGAACACGCAAATTTATCCACATATTTATTTGTAGTTACACAATTTTATGATGCACTTTTATCCGTTTGTCCTTTAGATTCACGTAAGGAGTGACTTCGCGAACGCTTGCGCTCTGCACGCTCTTCGCGAGCTTGTTTTCGGCGCTGAGCAAGCAACTTGGCATATTCTTCTTGTGCCTTTCTGCGGGTTTCTATGCGCTGACGCTTCAGTGCATGCCTATGGCGTTTACGCTGTAATCTTAAAGGTGTTGTTAAACGCTGAATCTTCGGAGCTTTGGAACGCTCTTTCTTTCCTTCTTTAGCTGGGACAGGCTTCCGCACAACGAACTGACAAACATTATCCTTCTTCGACAGATTAAACAATTTCCTAATTTTTGAAGCCCTCTTAGGCCCAAGTCGTCGAGGGATACTGACGTCAGTCAAGCCAGGGATATCGTTTTCTCCTTTGCGTACAACAACCAGATTAAGGACACTTAAATTACTATCAACTATACAACCACGCACGCTCTTGCGTCGTCGTTCTCCTTTACGTCTAGGACGATAGCACGAACTTCCTTTGCTCAACAGCAACTTGACACGGCCATTAGTTAAAACTCCTTGTTTCATAGGGAAACCTTGTTTATCATTTCCACCAGTTATGCGCATTATGTATCCTTTCCATTCGTCCCCCAGAAAGTCAACTGGAAGCTCATGGGACATACGTTTATCATAAAATGGGCGAAGTTTAAGTTCTTCATCGACTTCAATACACTTCTGAGTCCCATTGGACGGAAACGCTATGTTAAGCTGAAAAAGGACAAAAGGAAATCATGGAATTAATGAGATTTGTGAACAAAGATACCAAGTAATTTAGAGCCGAATAGGATTGTCTTACGCAAGTTATATACTCTACTGTTTAGCATGACAACACCATGAAAAAGGATGCTTTAACCGATCGAAAATTGATACGGGCCGTATACGAATGTAAACGGTTGCGTCAGCCCACATTGAGGAACGTGGAAAATTCAAATACCAATAATGTAATAATGTAGATGACTCAAAAAATATCAAAATGTAAAACAATGATTGAAATCGAAAGTAGTATAATAGATACAAGTTTGTGTCACTGCGATTAGATTTGAGTCATATTACCGAAGGATCTGCCAAAGGCTGTACCTGAAGAGAACCTAGACATTCCTACTCGACCTAGATTAGCATTTAATAACTTGAAGTACTGCTTAAATACCCTGATTTTGATCTCATTTGCTATAATATTGGTATTACTCAGTCAGCTACAACATAGGACCAGGAAAATATGTGCATCGGTTCAAGTTGCCATACATCATTAGCACAACAAGATGAACACTGGATTCATAGAAGTGGTTAATTCAGCGGTGGTAATATATAAAAGAAAGGTTGTATATAAGGATATAGCACAGGAAGAAGAAATTAGTTAGTAGAAAGAAAGATATAAAGCGATCTTAATCTCACAGTTTAAAGGAAGACTGAGAGTGTATACACTGATGCCATTGTGGTCGATTCTGAGCCATGTCACCAAGAGTCTCCAACCATTAGTTACGATAGTCACACCGATCCCAACCAAGTAGTCTGCATCTACCAACACGGATCAGACCAGATGTTAGTGACTTCAAGCACTGATGCCACATTTTGGTTTGGCCGCCCCTAACTTACTTCCAACCATCCCCTACACTAGTCAGTATTGCAAGTCGTCTTAGTGACCTAAGAGCGTGACCACAGTGTCCAAGGGACAACTGCCCGGTCACACGCGACATTTTTGTGGTTACTTTTCGTGTTAGCTCCGTACTTGTTGAGACCTTACCGCCAGAGACGGATATCCGTGGGATAAGGCGAGGTGTGCATTTTCAGGATCGACCTTTTCTAACCCCACTCCTCCTTGTGGGAAGGTAGCATCACTGTTATGAAGGAAACACCTTACTGCCGTCACAGCTCTGTACAGTCAGCAGTTCGACTTCGCCTTCAGACTTAGGGTTTGTTGCTTTTAGTTTTACCATTCTTCAACCGACCTGCCTGGCATGGTAGGACGTTGAGGAACGATTGTTCTAGCCAGTATAGCCCGAATGGTTGGCCGCCCCTAACTTACTTCCAACCATCCCCTACACTAGTCAGTATTGCAAGTCGTCTTAGTGACCTAAGAGCGTGACCGCAGTGTCCAAGGGTGCCCAGACCAAACAGGTGGTTTTCTTGGGAGGTCACACCCGGAGTCTTCGATCTAAAGATCTGACCCACAAGGCAGTGGGGCAATGAAAGGAGATGCAGTCCCATGGTAGTCGGTAATCAACAATAGCTTTAAGCTTTTTTTGTTTCCTCAGGATCCTGGAGCCCATGTGCACCACTGGTTCGGAATCAGTGTTTTCCAACTTCTTTGTAAAGATTCTGCGTATTCACCAACCTTGTTAAAGCGTCGGACATTCGCCTTTCGTCTCCTCAGTTTCGTAAACAAAACTTCCGCCGTGGCAGGGAAGTGAGTAGGACGGCCCTAGCAGTTCCTGTGTGAGCATTTTTAGGAGCCGACTCGTCCTACCCTCCGCCGTACAAGGGCACTTGGGGGCAGCTCGTGCACTGATGGAGTACACCTGCTGGAAATAAAGTGAGCGTTATATTGTGGTCAGGACACGGGTTACGTATTCGTAATTACCGCTAAACTCTAGGGGCAATGTTTTTTATTGTTGCAAGTTAGCAGAAAACAGCAGCCAAATTAAGACATGATATTAGATTATGAAGCTATTGAACCATGTCGGCGAATGCAAACTACCTATTCGGGAACTGCATGATAGCTTTAATCCGCAGCCGGAGACATCGGGTAACGAGTCAAGATCATTTAATATGGCCTAGACATACCCTTTATTTCCGTACCTCGAGTCTTAATAACACTTTAGACACCGCGCCGTCTTTTAGAATTCTGTTCTACATCCTTAGTCCCCTTTGCCATAATTCTACTCACCAATATATCCTGTAAACTTTATTTCATCGTACTAATGTGATATGGAAACTTAGGCCGACGGACATCTATCCTAGATCCTACTTTGATGATTGAGTTAAGTATATGACTAGAAACTTCCTCAACGACTGACCCACTAGTCCTGATGAGATAACGTGACTCAGTATTAACTAGCGAGTGAAAACGGTGACAAATCAAATATTCTTGTGGTTCATCCACCAAAAACAGCTTAGTGAATACATCACATGTTAATTAACACCATGTCGGAATCTTTACTACAAGCTCAAAACCGAGATATTTTAGTTTTGACTGGATATTCCGTTTAACAAGGATCCTCGAAAAAGGCTTTGCTAGGCAGTTGTTTTGCCTTAAAGAAGGTTAGACAAATACTTGTTAATGTACTGCACAAGCAACTTTACTTGTCATCTGAGCCACTACAACCAGAACTCACTGTGAGATTTATTTATTTATTTTAACACATAGATATTGGTACAAGGAGGCACCAAATACATATGCGCCACGCGAATCTCAATTGATTTGTGTGAGGGCTGTGATACTACCTGGGTGCCCAAACCGAAGCAGGTGGTTTTCCTAGGGAACCACACCCCGAGCCTTCGACCTGAACGTCTGACCCACAAGGCAGTGGAGCATCTTAAGGAGATGCAGGCCCATGGTAGCCAGTGACCAACGATTGGTTCATACGCCATTTGTTCCTTCAGGATACTGGAGCCAGCCCATGTGCACCATTGGTTCGCAATCCGGTTAAATCGCCGGACATTCGCTTTTCGTCCTCTCATTTTCGTAAACAACACCCGTAGTGCGAGAAGGCAGTGAGTAGGACTTCTCTGACAGGTGCTATATACGCGTGGCCATTTGAAAGCATTTCGAGAGGGAGAGCGGACTCTCCCCACTTTCGGCCGTATCAGGGCATTTGGGGGGTGTGAGAGGACCTTGATCACAGGCTAACCGACATTAGCATGTACTAGAAAAACAGACGGATATATACTTTTGTATGCGATTCTCGGGTGCCTGTGTAAGACATTTTTGTAACACCACTTGAAATACTGAGAACACGAAGTATATTAGACCTATAGGTGGTCAAGTTAGCGAGTCAAATGCACACCCGCAGGTATTGGGATGTTTATATGAAATCAGCCTATGGCATTCTAATGTAAACTGTGTGCATCTTTCAGATTTCTGCTAGGCTTTGTGACGAGTCTATAATTTATGGGCGAACCAATCAGATAACAGGTCTTGGATTCTGGCGCGAAATCAATCCAACTATTTGGCTTAAAAGCGCCTTGGACTTTTTAGTTGATGTCAGTTCGTGGCGAGAACTCTAAACCTAGTTCCTAACCCTAACCATAAACTGTAGATGTTAATCTCAATTCCTCTTACTGGTTTATAATTTTCATTTGGTCGTGGTATGTAGGTGGACATTTTCAGGGTCTTTTAGCATAGCTCAAAGGGTGTCCATATATTATAGTCTCACCTGCTGTTTTAAATATACAACTAAAGATAGCGCTTCTCGGGATTTTGCATGTGGATTGACTACTCATTCAAATACTCGCTCACTAATGAGTATACAAATGACAATTCAGTTTGACGGAGCATCAATAAATCATAAAAACGTTACTAGTAACAGTTTAAGAATATTCGGTATGTCTTCTTTATTGCAGTAAGTATTCTCTAGGTGACCTACATGCCTCACTACGTAGCCTCAATTTAGGGAGTAGTGTATCTGAAAATTGCCATTTCACTTGATTCGAATCAGTCCTAAGACTCGGCATCTAGCTGAACATCAATAGCGATGAATGTCCACCTAATTGTGTGTTTAACTAGAACAAGCGAAGTGTACATGACCAGTTCTGACATCATTTTCGATGTGATCTGGCTTACAGAAGTTCAAGTCAAAGATCTCTAATATGTAGTTTATTCGAAAAATCTTAGGCCGGTGACACTACAAAGGAAGTGATAGATCTACTTAAACATCAATACTAACCCGTAAGATCTTTGAAATTCGCACTATATGACTTTTGACTGGTTTACTAATAAACGTTTGCCGTATACGTTATACATAACTTCTCTTATCCTAACACACTCCTGCAGTCAGATCATATTACTTGACTAAGTTTTACCAGTGGTGAATACCCTAGCTTTATTATAGTCCAAATATATGCGATTCACACAAAATCTTCGAATTTCAAAGCACTAACAGACTAACAATCATACGATAATTCCTGAAGCACTCGCTGAACCTTAAATGTTATTGAACACAAACAACAGTAGTTCGGTTGTATGAGAAACACCACCACGAATGACAACTAGATAGCTAGCAAGACGGAACTGAGGTTCCGGAGCAATATACCTTCAATTTGGCATCAATGCGGAAACACAAAAAACCTACCTTCATCACGAGGACAAACAACAAGTGCCGCTACTACTGTATACAACGCCCGGTTAAACAAATGCTATCAACTGAAAATGTACTCAATGTTTCATTCTCAATCTCACAATTTGATACATGTGTGAGACAACATTCTAATAATCATTTTCAGGTTAAGTTAGACGAAAAAATGTTCTTTTATCCTCAATTCTACTGTTTTAATGTCCTTACATTACGGGAGACTGAGAGTTAGAAGAAAATGACAAGTTGATGTCGGTATGTAAGTGACGTCATAAATTTCCTGAATTGGTGTATTTAGGCTACTCAGTTACTGATAATAGAATTATTTCGATGTTTTTTTACCACTAATACAAATTGTCTATTGCGCAGTCACACCAAAAATTTGTGTGTCGAATATCACTTCGTAAATACGCCAATCAACATAAAAATTCTACTTCAATCATAACACCAACAAGAAGATGGCTAAGTAAGAACACAGAGCAGTCTGATCCCTGGACTCTCATATCAATCTGCTCGTATAAGAGTCTCACCTAGCCAGAAAAAATATCGCAGTCACGACATCTTTTGTTTTGCCATGTATAGAATTCACTCACACATGATTAGTGTTCCCTCTTGCTTAAGGTTGACTGAGAGTCGACGTTAATATGATTATACAGTAACCTGTCGCTTTGTTATTATTTTTGTTTTCATTTCCCTCAGTTTAAAAAAATCAGAACTTTTTACTTGGTGGCTTCCTCATTTCATAACTATCCAGTGCTTAAGAAGCAGATGCTGTTGTAGCAGTAAGTAGACCCCCTTCCAAAAAAAATAGTTCCGTGAGTCTTCGACACTGATGCTGACCTCACTAGTTTTACCGGACACATCACAACCAAAGCGCTCAGTTAAGCATCCTCGTCAGATCACCATAGGGTACGCCGCGCTGCGCGTCCCTTCAGACAAATAATTGGAATACATCTCAAACTTCTTGACTATCTTTCAAGTATGTATTTAAACTCCCTCATTTCTGATCTATGTTTCGAACGGATTTCCGATCCTAGATCATAAAAGTATTACAAACAACAGTGTTGTCAAACCCTAAATATCCCTAACGTCTTTACTAGAACTTTCAGCAAAGCACGATCTTCAACAAACTAAGTTTGTGTTCATGTTTTTTTCAGATACATTTAAGAAGCTAATTAGAGAGATAAACATTCTGTCATGTTCTGCTGTTCAAGTTCTCTTCAATACATTCAAGTTCAAAAGTATGATAACCTTTTGGTATTTCCACAAGTTGCCTGCTTGTATGGTGGGCTAGGTATCTGCTATTTGGCTATATTCATTTCTATCTCATATTCTGATGTCATCATTAACTTGCGATTGCTTACTTAGTTTATGCTAATTCAAGACAAACGGCGGCTTTGTGTTGAACAGATCCGTTTTAGGTTCAATCGAAAACTTGTAAAATTATGATCTACTATGATATTAGCACTGCTCTAATAATAGACATAATCCTAAAATTGTAGATTTATCATGATGTAACTGCCTAATCTATAAGATCTTACGTGGAAGTTACAGCATCGTTTACACCAACTCATTGCATTGTAACAATTACCAGTACGTGATAGGGAACAAGCTTAGGCTAGAGATAGAATATATTTAGTGTGAATAAAAGATACAAGATAACATCCAGCTGGGACCCCGCCTGCAAGGCCGAGCCATGCCATCTGACCAACTCATATTAATTCAATTCATTCTCCCCGCCTTCTTCATTCTTCTTTATTTCTCCGCGTTAAATGTTTAATGTCTATTTCTCATATTGTCTCGTGGTAGGGCCCGATGCCACTACACTACTCTCCCATCAGAATCAACGTGACGTTGGTTCGATACCAAATTGTGTGGGATTGTCGCGCGCCGGAGGTTGCCAAGAATGATAAGAATCCACCGGGTATTGATAAGCTGGAAGATAAATCAAGAAGGCGGTAGAATCTGGATTATTTTTAAAAATTAGATTATTCAGTAGACGACATATGTAAATCTATTCGTAAGGAGTAGTAATGATTCAAAAGCATCCAGAATAAAACATGCAGTATGGTAATTAATTCCAGGGTCCTTGGTGCCACTGACGTTTTTGCCACTCGCTCGGATCAGAACACTTGAATGAATCCAGATAATTGTGTGGTTTCAATTGAACGACCCATCTAAAATGAACTTATGATTGCAGAAAACTTATAGCTGAAACTCACCGTATGGTTTTGTAGTAGTGTCATCTATGTTGTTTGGCAATGGAACTGGAGAATTGGAAATTAGGCAGGCAGTGGTCAGAAGAAAAGATATTGCAGGATAGTGTAGTTTAAAAACAGAATGTGTTAAGTGAAGGAACACTAAGAATCAGATCCAAATAACTATTTAGTCCTTTATCGCATTGTTAGCCAATGTATATTTAAGTTATTTACAGGACATATTTGCTAGAGCTTGATGTTAAAACAAGTTTGTTTCGCTGAAGCATGTTAATGCTATTAAAGCTTATGTCGGTTGGTTAATAGTTGGCCACAAACATCTTATTAATATCAAAACACTATAGTTCAATTATTCACCCGCTTCCTTAATTTGTATAGGCGCTACACTTCCTATTATTTTATATCGAGTGCTGAAAAACGTTGTATATTTGAAAGACTAACCACGCGATCCAAATAAAGACCTATCCACTTATACGTCATATAACTTCCCCGAGTTCGATACAAACATCTTCAGCAACAACTGCAAAATTCCAAGTGATACTCGCCATGCCGAACCCTCAGTCTTCCAAAGATAAAATAAGGATAAGTCATATGATCAAAGCTGAAGATGGACCTGTGTTTGCTAGACCAAGGAGACGAGCACTGAATAAGATTAAATTTGCTCTGCATATGGTCCCAAAGAAAAATGTAGGCGATTGGCGACAGTGTGGAGATTTCAGATCCCTCAACCATCAAACAGTACCAACTGTGTATTTAATACTTCGTATGCGAGATTTTGAAAACAGCTTTCAGTGCATGGACATACTCACTAAGATTGATTGATCACGACACATCACAACGTCCCAGTGTCTGGAGAAGATATCCCTAAGACATCTGAGACAACACCTCTTGAACTGTTCGGGTTTGTATGCATGCCGATCGACCTGAGGAACGCCGCAAAAACATTCCAACTATTTATGGACAACTTACTTCAGAATATGCGATTCGTGCAGGTGTATGCAGACGATTTGTTAATTGCCAGTCTGGATTTAAAATTACACGAACAACAAGTGGGAGCAATGTAATAACAACTGAATGAAGATGGAGTGGTGTTGTTGACCAACAAACATGATAGTGGAGAGAAATCTCTGGTCCACCCACGTCCATAGGGCAGAACATTTTATTAAATTAGGGCTTCCTATGGTCATGTGGGGATGTCAAAAACCAGTGTTAACAATTCCAATTTATAATATGAATTACTTCTTTAAATCATGTTTATGACGTCGAAATGGCTTCACTTACTACCGAGTAATCCTACTACAGGCAAAACAAAACAATTTGCTAAAAACGAGGCCTGCTCATGACATAATAAAATCAATGAGAATAAAAATGAGACTATTATTATCACTATTATTCACAAACGTGTTATGGGTACATAAGTGATTTCAATTATATTGTTCATTTGAATGGTTGGTTTTGTGAAATATTGTTCATATCAGAAAATAGTTTTGTGAATATTATGGTAATTTCAATGGTTAAGATCATGAGTCAGTTGAAGCTAGACAACCATGGAAAACCTGGAAGCACTCGATGGCCGTTTCGTCCTATTGTGGGACTCCTCAGTAGTGCGCATCCACAACCTTGCCTCCCAATATTCGAAACCAGGACCTATCAGCCTCACACGCGAGCGCTTAAAAACTGGACCACTGGGCTGATATTCAACGGTGTTAATGTCTAACTTCAACTAATCCACGAAGTTGAGAGACACATCCACCAATGTCTTCAGTGAGTTACTATCTCACAACAGACCCGGTTGAACTCCACTGGTCACTGCTTCTCACTAGAGCTCCAAGAAATACTTCTTGGAGACCGTCACTAGTGAGCATATGATGATTATAATTAGAGAAACGACCGTTCAATGCTTCCAGGTTTTCCATGGTGATCTAGCTTCAATTCATTCACGATCCCTACCATTGAAAACACAATCATGTTTATGTAACTGTCAGTTACTCGACTCCGGAACACACATTGTCTGTGCCATCTGTTTTCGCGTATGAAATTGTAATAGCTTAAGTTAGTTGGTTGATAGTCAGATTCTTTATTTCTGACTCTAGAATAGTTTAATGGTCAGTCGAATAAACACCTGATAACCGGACAGTGTGTGGGAAGGTCACACACCGAACGACGGAGCGATTCTCCATTAGGCTACAAAAATCGAACAGACATGTTTTCGTTTAATGAATCTATCAAACCGACATTCCCATGGGTCGATTCTCAGAAGAGGCTGATGTAACAGCTTAAGTAGGGTGGTTAGGAGTAAGCGAAGAATCTTTGCGTATTTTTTATAACATTATAAATAAATAATATATTTGTAATATCACAATGAGTAGAAAATTAGATTTTCTGACGTTTCGTGGCTTAGTGTAAGTCACTTCTTCAGAGAATAAATAACCAAATTAAAATTAATCCAAGTTTAAATAGTACAACGGAACAATACAAGAATAATATTTGATCAATCAAAAAACAGATATGAACAAGTTGATGTCATGTCGTTTTTGTCAAGGTGATTCATAAGTGACGTGTATGTAAATTTGCAAGTGTATGTATGTGTGCATTGTTTAAGAATGAAAAATTGTGTGACCTTTATGGTAAGATGGGATAGAGTTTAAATTTGTAATATGATAGTGTGAATTTGTAAGTATGATCAGACTGAGTGGCTAGGATATATGGTCCAAGTAGGATGTATGGTAAGGCCTTCGTTTCTGTTGAGAGAAGTAGGATTAAGCATTATATGGAACGCCTCAGCTACCC